TTTATAATTACCCGGTTCAGTTCAATATTGTAGTAAATCTTCTACTTGCAGGTCTACTTTTACCTATTTTTACTTTAGCTATTTTTCTAACAGGTAAGTTTAAACTTGAAATAAAGAAGCAAAATCCCTACCTCTTTGTAGAACTGATCTGAAACATTGGATATCGTATCAAGATTGCCATTCATAATTTTCATTAAAGAGTTTGGACTTTCTTCAGCCCTCAAAGATTCCTGGAAATAAAATGTGTACACAAAAAAGCTTCAGGATTGGACACAAGGATTTAAACTTAGACCTTTTAGCATGCAATTATTCCCAATTAGGTGCTTTAACAGTCTTTTTCGTCAAAGAACTTTCCTAGAAAACTTCACAATGTCTGTGAAACAACTAAGCAATATGTTGGTATATGAAATAAAATCTATATTACATTGGTCTGCAACTGAAAAACAAACTGATCAACATGAGATTTTAATTCAGCAAGATGTTAGTGAGACAACCTAATAATATTAAGTTACAGGTTCAACTGATGAATCTTGGAGAAACTGAATCTGTAATAACAATATTATTTGCCAGTGCTGTACAGTGTAAGTTTGCCAGTGCTGTACTGTGATCCAGATTATTCAGAGCTCACATAAGCACACACATAGCATATCTCCTTAAAACACCTTAAAACAGGGATGTCAAACTGCTGGCCCGCGGGCCGGATACGTCATGGCGAAACCGCACCCACCCCAATGCCGGCAATGGAAAAAAAGTTGCGATGTGTTGCGACACATCACGTGACGTTGTGAGTTTGACACCCCTGCCTTAAAACAAATCCATCTTTCTTGAGAATCAGAAATCAGTGATGAGGGAAAGGGCACTGGGAGCATACCACATATGCCCCCATTCATATATTGCACACTGCAAAATGTGAATGGATGCATATGTGGTGGCCCAATTACTAGAATGCAGTATTGCAGACTAACTCTGCCTACTGCCAAGAGTTTGATCCTGATCGGTTCAAGATTGATTCAGCTTTCCATCCTTCCACAGTTGTTGAAATGAGAACCCAGATTGTTGGAGGCAATATGCTGACATCTGTAAACCACTCAGAGAGTGCTGTAAAGCAATCACTATGGAGCAAGTATATAAGTCTAAGTGCTATTGCTATTGCATAGCTGCACGGCTAACTAGAAAACTGCCCCCCTTCCAGTTTTATTATAGAATATTTTGAAGATATTTTATAAAGGCAGTTAGATAAGTAATTAGATAAATAATAATAAACTAAATATAATATTGTTATGAATTATTATTAGTATCATCATCATCATTGAACATGAGGAATTCAGTATGTGAAATGTACAGGTCTCTTTCCATAGATAACACATAGATTTATTTTGATACACTTTGTATAGGGTTAGGGTTATGCTCCATAACCATAACACCTGACAGAATCAGCCCAGTTCCCAACCATGGCTTAATGGGTGGCAAGTTCAGAAGAGCTGATTCCATGGAAATATTTCTAATTAGAAACAATGTTTTATCATAGAAGGCATATGAACCAACCAAACCATACTTAAAATAGGCCAGTGGTAACCAATATATTAATCTTCAGCTATCTACACAATAATATAAACTGCAAAATAAAAGATAAGTAACAGCTTACACACCTTTAAATATTTTGTGGCATTTTCCAAGTCTGAAAGTGCTCCGTAAGGTGCCAAGATAGCACCAGTGAAGTTTACCAAAAGCATAGCTTTGCCAAAATTATCCAGATCATTCAACAATCGCCCTGTACAGTCATCATCACAAGCTAAAGAAAAAATTTCTAGATATTATTTTCAGCTTAATACACATATTTATATTGATGTGTACATTATTTTGTATACTCATGAACTAAACAGAAAGTGAAGAAATTCCAAAAACAAAGAAAGGAGAGAGGCAGCCCTAACATTTGTACCTCTTAAACAGATTATTTCATTGACTAACACAAGAGTGACAACTTTTGTGATATCTCTTTAGAGTCTCATGCTTGGGCTCCAAAAAAAATAAGGAAAAACACAACTTCAGAAACTCTTTCATGGTTAGATTATCATCATATACATAGTTACAATTTTTTCTCTGCAATACTCAGTACTTTAATTCATATATACTATATAGCATTTATCATTTTGACACTCATTCCTTCAGTTTCGGAAACATTTTTGGAATTCTTCATTGCCACTTTTCTTCTAATTATACTAAATAATATTCCAGGCAATTATGTATATGTTGAAAACTACCAGTTCCAACAGAGAATCTAGGGTAACTCTCTCACTGATGGAATTTACATTCATTCTTCCACTCTGCTTTCATTTCTCAATAATTTCTTATTCCCCAAATTTTGTTAGGTGGAAAACTTTGTCAAAACCATGTACAAAATCCAAATAAATATATTGAGTAGATATTTTTAAATGTATATCATTTTAATTCTTCTCTATATGTACATTTCTTTCTGTAGCTATTTCCTTTCTTCTCTCTACAGGAATACATACACTGATATTCAACAGCTTCATCTATTTAGTTGTTTCTATCCAAAACACAGAAAGCATTTTTTAAGAATGTTTCATGCTGCAATATCTTACAAACTGAATAATACTAAACAGCACTTAGTTCCCATTCCAGGCAAACTTCAACTTAAAAAGCAAAAGCAAAAATAAAAAATAAACCACTTACAAATACACTCATTCTCCACAAGAATGTGCCTTGAATCACATTGATCACACAACTGTCCTGTTACACCTTGCTTACAAACACATTGCCCAGAAGTATGATCACAGTGGTAATGGAGAGAACCATTTGGGCTGCACTGACATTGCTGACATTTGCCACCTGGTACTCTAGGATCTCCATAGTAACCTGGAGAACATCTAGAAAGAATCAAGACAAGTTAGCCTTTCTTGAATGTCTTGGTTAAAAAAAAAAGTTACCTTGAGATACCTTATCATAAAACCACAATGTCCTCTATTCTTTCATGATCTCCAGTCTTTTATTCCAGCATGCCACAAATCTCACAGTAGCCTGAGACTTAAACATACAATACATTCCCTATGTTGAAGGACGTTCTACATTCTATAGACCCTGCAAATGAATTCTGAGAAATCGGAAGGGTATGTACTTCTATTTTTTTATAGCATTACAGTCCTATTGAGAAAGTTTCAAATTAGGATTGGACCAGTGTAATATATAAAAAAGCAAAGGCATACTTTTGGACCGAATGATGGCACAATACAACACGTAGAATAGCCAATAAATCAGGTTTAACATGTCAATCACTAGGTGTTTATGTTAATACTTTAATTCTACATTGAATCAATATAACAGCAACTTGTTATCTACTACATTTCTAATAAGGTTAAGACATAGATTTTTCCATCCCTTTTGCCTAATGATGTCTAAATCAACTAAAATTAAGCTATGTCTATTCTTCTTAATGTAGGCACATTTGTTGCATAAGTTGTAATGAGCTGAATACCTTACCTTTCACAGTACTGCCCTTCATATCCAGTGACACAAGCATTGCAGTGGAAGTCCTTTATACCTTTTGCAACACATGTTGGACTAAAGCTTGAAGAACAAAAAAAAACCATTAGAAGGTCTAGGAGAAACATACTTATCCCCAGGGCTTTTTTTCTCATAGAACGCCCAGAACGGAGTTCCGGCACCTTTTGGGGATGGAACCTTGCAGGGTAGGCAAGGCGGGTTGTATGACGTGTGTGAGTTCCAGCACCTTTTTTTTTTTTTTTTTTTAGAAAAAAAGCACTGCTTATCCCAACTGGTATATAATTTTATTTATTAGATTTATATTGTTTTATTCAAGGGCTTAAGGAAATGGTCAGCCCTCCCCCCATTTTTCCCCCAATGAAAATAAATTGGACTGTCAGGGAGCTCCAATGGATGTGAGTGAACCTGAATCCCCCCCTCATTTTCACCCAAGCATCATAATTAGGTATGTAGGAATGTTCAACCATATTTCTTTTGATGCCTAAAAACTACAATTCCGGTACCATTCAATTCTACTAAGGCTTCAACATTATACATATAGATTCAGAAAAGTCTCACTAATTTCAATAAGGCTTATTCCTAGGTAAATAAGATTGTTGCTTAGCTATATTAATGCATAAATACAATTCTTTTCCTTGTTGCCTAATACTTAGTGTAGCCTAATGTTTTTCCAAAGTGTTGAACTGTTATATTTAATCATTGTGAAAGGCTGATGTAACCACAAGATCAAACACTAGGTTATAATAATGTCTACTGAATTATCTGACTAAGCCAAATTACAAATCCCATTTTAATCAGGGATTTTTTAAAAAAGGATAGAAACCGCCTAGAAATGTAGCTGTCAATAGCATCTATTATTGATGTAATACTCTATTAAGTATAATTATTAAGACACCCAGGTTAATACTTAGCTACCTTTCTGGGCTCATTCTTGGACATGCACAAAGTGAACAATCATTGATGGATCCTGTCACTTTGCCATAATAACCAGGAGCACAAATACTGCAGTGGTCACCAACTGTATTATCTCTGCAGTCCTAGGAAGCAATAATTCAGGAATTTTAAAATTTAAAAAAATTAAAAAGCTTTCAGTTTATGAATACACGGTGCTCTTACTAATTACTTAAAATGTCAAGAGATGGAAATGGCAGGCAATATATTCATTCCTTTAACTATAAAAAAAGATTGGTATTTATAGAAAACCAATGGAGTAAAACTATAGAAAATTATTGCCGTTTCAACATGGGTAATCCATGGAGTGAGAGTAATTAGTTCTGTTTATTTTAACATTCCTTGATGATTGCCCTAATTACTTCAAGCAATCTGAGTTATCTCCATCAGTGATTCATTTTTGATAATGTTAAATTCAAATTGTAAAATTTTAAATGGTTAGAGCCATGATGCTAACCTAAACTACTGCAGCACATTGCATAGAAAAAGTTATTTGGAATTCAGAGTATATCTTTAAGTTTCTCTGTTGTCTACAACACCTCTTGTTTCAATCCCTTCTTCCCTCTATTGGTTTCTTTCAGAGAATAACCTCTTATTCTGTGTTGCTTGTTTGTATTAGCTTTGTAAAGCTTCTTGTAAACCAGGTAAGATGCCTAAAAATAATCTTACAAAAGAACTAGTCCATGGTAATGTGGTAAAATTTGCAGCATGAATTTCATTAGATAGATGCCATTTTTACTATCTAAATATAAAGGCTGTACTTGAAGGGTTTGCGTTTCTAATTTTGGAAATTTATACTATTTTGATCATCTGATTTTTCAGCAGTCTTTTTTTACCTTGAATTATTTCATTTATTTTAAACATTCATATAACTGCCCATCTTAAAGCAAACAGCTCCCAAATATTGATACAAAAAATTATTTGTAGAAGTTTACATACCAAACACTTTCCTGTTTCTGGATCACAAACACTGCTGTGGTTATTGCACTGGCAGGGCATACATAATGAAACTACTAAGGGGAACACTTTTAGGTGTGCATTTCCATGCTTCTCCCTGTAGTATCCTGGTGCACAGTCCTACATAGAAAAGAGCTTTATTAACATGGTAAACTTATTTTTAAATAAGGCATTTAAGGTATGACAAGATGTTACCTTAAAATATTTTTCCCCACTAAGACATACCATACCTGACAGGAGAGTCCTGCATAACCTCCAGGACACAGGCATTTTTCAATGTGGTGAGCTTGTTCTTTGGCCAAGGGCATGTGATCAGCTTTCATTGCAATTTCCATGGAGATATTTGAGATTCTAAAAAGTGTTCCATAAAAACAAAGTAAAAATGAGGCAATCTTCATTTATCAGACAAGAGATGAAAACTGCTTGTTATTTCCTACCAATTGGGATGGCTTCTGCAAATATTTTAGTCAGAGCTATAGGTTACAAAACTAAATGGCAGAAATAAATTTCAAAACACAAGGTTTGGTTTCTAAGGTACTAGCAGGTAAATAAAAATTAATAAAAACTTAGACAAATGGCCCTCCTGGCTAGACTTTTCTGGAGGTTTTCATTCCAAAATATTTAGAAGCATCAGAAGGGCAAGGCTGCTCGGCATATCAGATCCTGTGATGATAATAATAATAATAATAATAATAATAATAATAATAATAATAATAATAATAATAATAATAAGTATGATAGTCATTAGGTGTGCCCATTAAAGTTTCTCCAAATATGCACTAATAATTTTTCAAACAAAGAATTGCTAAACTGTGTATTGATTCACATGGGATTACATGAATCCGCACTATAAACTGCATTTCATCATGCTGCATTCAGAGTTTCTCCTAAAAAGTACTGATTTTCAGAAACATTTTTATAAGTATAACCATCAAAAACAACCCAAAGTAATTTTATACCATATTTATATTTATGTATATTGAACAGTAATACAGAGGTGGCCAAAACTGTGGAAACCTTTTGGGAAAAGTGTACAGTAGAAATGCCACCTTTGGTTAAGTTTCCACCAATTTTTCTTCTAATTTCTTTATAACTGTAGACTTGTTCACTTAATAATAATATTTTACCTCACTTTCTGGGCAACCAGTCAACTCTTTGCACCATTACTTTAATTTTATTACGTTTTACAAGCTCACTAAATGAAAGAACACAAAAAAATCCCAACTTGATAGCGATCACATAACACACTGACAAATGTCCTCCTCTCAGCTTCAATACATGACATCAATAACTGAATCCTACTGTGATCTGATTGGCTCATTGCCAAAACAAGATGACACCTGATTGGCTCTCTAAACACTCATGCTCATTGGCTACAATCAGATGAAGGAAAGCTACCTGATATCAACCTGAGCAAGTTGTGCTTCCTTTTTCTGGTTATTTGGCTATAACTTTTCATAGAATACAGTACAGATAATTGAACAAACTTTGTTGCATTACATTCTTGATTAAATTAACTTTCCATTGATATATAATTTTATAGTACTACTCCCAATAAAAAGTGGTGTTATTAGCCATCAAACCTCAAAAATATACTTTTCTCAAAAGGTTTCCACAATTTTGGCCACTACTGTGTGTGGTGAACTAATAAGATGGCTCTATTATTATTACCCATTATTTTTTAAGCTGCATTTTATAGTTTTTAATATTTTTAATAATAGTAGTTATTTGAGAACTCTTGTTTTTTAACTTTGTTATATACTACCCAATCACTTGTTTTATGACATGGATGGCTATATGAGTTAGTTAGTTAGTTAGTTAGTTAGTTAGTTAGTTAGTTAGTTAGTTAGTTAGACAGACAGACAGACAGACAGACAGACAGACAGACAGACAGACAGACAGACAGACAGACAGACAGACAGACAAATGAATATCAAAGTTTTAGCACTTCACCTGCTTTGTTGCAATCCTTGACCATATGAAGCCTTGATAAGAATATATTCAATATGGCTCAGAACTGACATGAAGTCAGAATGTGAAATAGATTCATCTGAAACAGCATTAAAGTATTTCCAGGTATTCTGTTAAAGACAAGAAAAATATAAACATAAATTAATTACAAACAGTTAATAACATGTACTTGTTTAATGAAATTGCTTTTATTTTTTTGTGTATAAGTATTCCTCATTTAGTGACCACAAATGGGGCTGGCAACTTTGTCAGCACTGCGATCGTCTTTATGATCTTACTTCAGCTTTCCTATGCTTTACAAATCTGCAAAGGTCATAAATGCAAGGATTGCTTATAAAGTTCCTTTTTTATCACTGTGGTAATTGTAAATGGTCACTGAATGAGCATTATCAATATTGGCCTCAACACCTTAGCTGCAAAATTAATTATACATAAAATGTAAAGTGCTTCTCCATTTAATAAAGCTGATCATAAGAACTAGTCATGACACTTCCCTAATTAAATCTTCACTGGCTTTAAGAGCCCAGTGGAGTAAAATTAATAACCTGGAGAAACAAACATACTGTAAATTAAGCATTTTCTAAATTACTATGCTAAATCTGAAAGATGTTGAAAGTCATTTTCAGAGACAGATGTATCCTGACAAGGCTCTAAGGAGCAAGGGTGATGCAAGAAAATCTCTTCTGCTCAAAGGATAGTAGATACCTCTATTGCAGTGGTTCTCAACCTTTTTAATGCCGCAACCCCCAACTGGTCGTAAGTCGAGGACTAAACCGGTCGTAAGTTGAGGACTAAATCGGTCGTAAGTCGAGGACTAAACCGGTCATAAGTCGAGGACTGCCCAACCGGTCGTAAGTTGAGGACTTTCCCTGCCCGGGAGTGCCGCGCATGCGTGGTTCCGTCCCCTGCGCCGGCCGAGGCGTAGCTGGCAAGCGGCAGAGACGGAGCAGGCCGACCACCAGCTGGCCCAGCTCAAGGGAGGTAAGGCACCCGCCGGAAAAGGGGAAAAAAATGGCGGACAGCCTTGCTTGGCGACCCCCGTGAAATGGTCGATCGACCCCAAATGGGGTCGCGACCCATAGGTTGAGAACCGCTGCTCTANAAGTACTATTGTTAAGCAATGACTATAATAACATTTTTGCCCTCTTCAAGTCATAAAGTTTCCACATTCCAGATTGAAAACCATATTCTTTTTATTCTGATGTTGCTCAGCAAGAAGTCTTTCAGTAATGTTTGTGCAATAATTTCCAAACCAATTCTGATATTTGTATTCCACTTTTGGTTCTGGGACAGTTTATGCATGTATGTATGTATTATGTATGTGTGTACATATAGTATGTATGTATATATAATTTTTAATACACATTTATTATTAAAAACAATTCTAGAATGATTCTGGTTTACAATCTTGGATAGAACATTAGCTCCTCAAGGTGGGTTTCATTCACAGTTTCTACATGTTTCCAATCAAATATGTGAAAGAGAATAAGGACATTTTTCTTGGACATTTTAATATGTCACATGACAATATCATACAACTTATGTTATAAAAGATAGATAATCTGAAGAGAAATGCCTGGTGATGTTTCGATTTTTACAAAAAAAAAAGTAAAGAGCAAACAAAGCCACTGTGAGCAAAGACTCTAGATACATTTCTACATATATAACCAAAATTTTAGTCTCACCTCCATCATTAGTATCTCTTCATCTTGCCATAATCCATTTTCTGGAGCAGGAACATCCACGTAGATGACCTGTTTCCTAGGGTGACCTCCTTTAATCAGAACTTGTGGTTCAAGATTTGCAGTTCCAAGACCATCCAGAGCATAAAAAGCTACTGAATATTTCAATTTCCCACCATATGCCATGAGCTGTTTTGATAAGTAATTATATTGTTAATTTGAGATATTTTTGAAGTATTTTCACTAAAATCTAGGTCAGCAGCAGACCATCTTTTTCCCCAGGGTCTGCTCCAAAATCTGATCTCCAGAATCATCTCTTTTCTCCTAATACTTTCATATATTGACTTCATTTACAAATCAAGCAAGAATTTCTTATTTACAATATAGTCAATATAATTGGGTTTTGTTTTTTGCTTTTCATTAACCATAATTTCTTGTGTCATCTGAATCAAGAACTATAATCAATGTGCCTTAATATTCAGTTTAAAAAAGTCATTTCAGGACTCTAAGATTTCAAACGGATATTTTTAAAACAATCTAAAGTTAACAATTGTATGTCTTTCTGGAAAAGTAAAAGTATAACTTTACAAGCTTCTCCATAGGTGAGAAAATGAGGTGAAGAACTATGTTGCGATATAATATAATTTGGTGAAAACAGTTAAAATCTTATTTTAACATTTGTTACAATAACATAGGTAACTCAACAATCTCCAATACTAGTTGACATCCTTGCTTCTGGATTTGCTGGGAGATCATTTCATTCTTTCTCTACCTTTTAGTTGTTGTCACCTTTTAGTCACCTGCTTTCATTATTTGCTTGCTTTCAACAGCAATTCTTTCTATTACCATATTCTTAGCAAATAGAAGATCCTAAACCAGAATTCCTAAACTTTTTGCCATCACACCTCCCTTTAGTGAAATCTTAATATACATAGCTTCCCTAAAAATTGAAACACAAGCATGAATGTAATAAATAATGAAAACAATACAATGAAACCTTAGGAAAGGTAGATTATTGTAACAATGTACAACTAAAAGATCTGCCATTCCTTTCAACTGGGTCTGCACATCTCCAGGTGAAGTACAGCTCGCAGTGTAGGAAACCTTGCCCCTAAAACATACTCATTTTCGTTTATAGTACTTTGAAATCCAAGTAGCAATTTTGTTAAACAACTATCAACAATTCACACAGCTAGGTCAGCATCAATTCAGAGTGAGCAAACCAGGGCATTTTACTGGTGACAGTACAAGCTGCAGCCCCAGTTATATGTCACAGTCTCTGTTTCTGAATGTTCACTCAGATTTTAGATTCTATTGAGTCTAGTATCTTTCAAAATTCTGCAAGCAGCCTTACATATATTATGTGGTCTCAAAAAACAAAGGTATAGAAAATTTTAATAATTTTGCTGTGAACAGAAAATACAGAAAAATAAACATTTACCTGGTTTCCCTGGAACTGATCTGGTAATTTCCAGTAAAAGGGTTCTGCATTCAAGTGTTGGTGGACTGTTGCCGCATCTATTACGATGTCTGGAAATTGGGAAAATACACCTTCACTTGTTCCAGTAAAGTTACTGAGAGAAACCACGGATAATAGTTCCTGTTCTGGAGTCAGTGTTACCTGCAATACCAAACCAACAGGTTATTCATTTTCATAAAATGTATTACTGAACATATGGTCTCAGACTAAGAAAGATTTCACATGCTTCCTGAAAATAACTAATCCATCACCCATCCTTTGAAATTTGGGAGCACTTACATTAATGCACCTTACATTTTGCATTAGCATTAAGCTACTTATAAGTTGAATACACAATTTTCTTTAATCTTTTATATTTTTATCCCCCTTTCTCTAGATATATAACAAGCTGAAGCTAAGGATGCAGGAAAAACAAAAACAAAAAGAAATGAAACTTAGATGAGTTATATTGCCTAGACCAGGGGTAGGCAACCTTGGCTCTTTTATGACTCATGGACTTCAACTCCCAAAATTCCTGAGTCAGCAATTCTGGGAGTTGAAGTCCATGAGTCATAAAAAAGCCGAGGTTGCCTACCCCTGGCCTCGACAAAAGGCAGTGGTTGATTTTGAGGAATGCACAAAAAATCCTACAGAGAAACAATGCAAAATAATATAAACATGCCTGCTCCTGAAATGCATATAAATAAGTACAACATTATTATTATTTATCATTTACTTAAGGTTGGTATTCACCTTTCAATCAATCAAGGCAGCTTACAACACATTTTAAGAAATTTGTAGCAGCAAAGTAAACTAGTCTGTAGTTGGAAACATTGAAATCAATAAAATAAAATAACTAAATTAAATTCTTGATAGCAGGAAAATTCTAAACACAAAACTAGGAAACATTCAGACTCTGCTAAACATTCTGGTGTCTTCCCACCCTAGCTGCAATCCAAACAGTTGACAAAAACAGGTGTGATTAAGTTAGGAAGAAATTAGGAGTATAGCAAGAGAAAAAGATAAGTACACTTTACTAACCGGAACTCGTGCGTAGCCTTCAACTTCTGTACAGAATTCTGTCATCCCAGAACAAAAGCAAGGGATGCATCCCAAAGGATTAATAGCATGTAGCGCAAAGGTCCCGCTTTTGCATTCATTGCAGTGCAATCCAAAGACATTTTCCTGAAGCAAGATGAGATCATTATCAGCCTTGTGGCTTGAACAATAGTATTTTTTTTCTAGCTTTACTGGTGCGTGGACAATAATTATAGGTATCGAGTATGTATAATTCTATAAGATATCTATAGAAGCTTGCATTTATTCCCTATGTAACCTATGTTCTACCCAATTCACTTCCCGATGAGGACTCTGCCTCACTTTAAAGAAAACGCTGAACTTCTATGATCATAGTAAATATATTTATGGCTCAGTTCGGGTGTATCTAAACTGGAAAAAAAACTTTTTCTCCTTTTAATGGTGATGCTTGAAAGAGCTTTAGGTCATTTTTTGTTCCCTTAATTACTTAGCTTCAGCAGATTTCTTAAAGAGGGATAGCTCCTTTGCTTAGGGTCTTGTTGGTTTCCTCCTGTCTTTCACAAGATATGTAGCATGAGATTGTTTGGGGTTTTTCTCTTTCATGCCCTTTTTGACATAATCGAAAACTGAATAGAAAATTTTGGTTTTTTGCAGAAGTGCCTTTACAATGCTTCCCAATTCCTGCTGTTTCAAAAGATTATCAAGACTTTAGACTCTCTCTCTCTCTCTTTCTCTCTTTCTCCTACAGCATACAACCATGATTAAAAACTTTATGAAAATCCTAATAGGCCAATTATTTATCTTATTATCCTATACCTTGCAAACACACACACCGGTTTCTTCTTCGCAGCTGCAGATTTCTTGATTGCACATCTCTGCTTTACTCCCACGCACATCACAGTCACAAGGAACACAATCAGGATAGTCCCTGTAACCCAAAGCACACACAGCACACCTGTCTCCTCCGTATCCTTGTTTACACTGGCACTGAGAAGTCAGTTGGTCACATTGAAGACTGAGGGAACCTAAATGACTACAATTACAAGCCTGAAAAAAAAAATTATAGAAACATGTAATTTGAAAAAGCTACTTTTTGCAGTCATTAAGATAAGTCACCAGTATTGCTTTTTTTTTACAAGACCATTTGTTTGTTTTGCTATAAGAAAGAGAAATACAGTTACTACTTTAAAAAGTTGTGTCAAAATAATTTACTAGTAAACCTTTGTAGTGAAATTGTAGTGACTTTAGAATGCAATAAACCTGACTGTAATGAAATAGAGAGAGGGAAAATACAATTTCTTGAATTGCTCCATTCAGTAAAATTCAAATTGTGAATCTAAAATGTAATTAGGTAAGTTCAGAAAGTTTCAGAAAACATCAAAGCACGTTGGTTGCTATACATTATCAACTAAATTATAGTAATTGTATTATGGTTTAATAGACAAATTGCTGTTTTATACAGTATTTCCAATACAGGTTTTAAATAAGAAGCTGTAGTATATTACAAAAATGTGAAAAAAATGAACTAAGAGTCAAATTCCTCTATACAATCTTTTATATTATAGCCAAAAGTGCAATGGATTGTAACAGCAATATTCCTTACAATTCAATTAGTATTTTAGAGAATAATTTAGAACTCTAGTAATTGAGATATTTACATTTGTATTGTCTAAAATTTTAATCAGCGAAAAGAAAAGTTGCTATTGACCATTTTTACCAGAAGGATTCTCTGCTGAAAATTTGATTTGATTAATTCAGTCACATCTCATCAGTAAAATGTTATATTTATTAAGTGGCATGCCACAATATAGTGTGTTATGGACCTAGAATATAATTTTGGCTTGACCATTTTATAAACAGAATGCATTCCAACTATTATGAGTATCTACCATTAAAAGGAGCATTTAGGAAGCTCTGATATAGATTAGAAGTACAGAAGTCTGAGCAAGTAAGGATTTTTAAATATCCAGCTGTGGTCTTGTGAGCTCAAAAAAGTCTTGCTATTCTAATTGTTTTCATACCCCAGCCAGGAGATATAACTTCTCAATTCAAACTATTTACAGTACAAATCTCAATTAAAACCTTGACCAAAATATAGGCTAAGGGCAGTGCTTCTGACTCCAAAGTATCTAGAGTAATTCTGAGGTAAGGATTAGCCAGATGAGCAATGCAGTAAGAGCTTAATTATTAATTTTTAATTATTGATGTTAATGCTATCATTTTCCCATCAGGTTAATCACATTTCTGTTATAATTTTTTTACCTAATAATTTTCAGTTCTCTTGAACTCAACCACTTTTTAAAAAATATTTATTACTCATATCTTGTCTATTGATTTTTTATATCCCCTTGATTTTTAGGTATTATTTTAATGAGACAGGTTTCTCTAAAAATTTTATCTAAAAATACAGTTTAAATACTCCAAGTGGAAACAAGCTCATTGATTGTCCTATTTTAATAAAGGTTTATCCTCAGAACCAGATATAATAGCTTGCACCTTTATATGGGAGATTTAATAAAGTTACCTAATTACTTGAATCTACACTTGTCACAATAGTTTGATTGAATCTATTCTCCTCCATGTGGTACCACACTGCTGTTTCTATAATTATACTCAAAAACACACATTTTTCCTGCATTGTTACATGCTCCAGGATTTCTAAGAAATCTTACATTAATTTTCTTTCATCAGGTAAGAAAAACCTTATTATACACAATGTAGTAACATTTTGTACAGCAACTATGAATGTGCCCAAACAATTGATCTACAAGAATCACGTCTTTGTATTTGCACCAATTTTTGATCATGTATACACTATCAATCACAACTTAATATTTTAGATTGTTAAATTTTTTAAAACAATTTATTTTTATATCCTGAATTTAATGCACTGTAGACTGAATTTCTATTTTTAGAATTCATTTATATTTTAATGTTTTTTCTTAATCTTAAGAATTAGTTTTAGTCTTATTATTATTATTATTATTATTATTATTATTATTTATTTATTTGATTTATATCCCGCCCTTCTCCCAACGGGACTCAGTGCTACATTATTTTACTTACACCCAAGTATTTCATGGCTTATATGATAGTTTTTATCTTGGTTTACCCTGGTAATCAATCTGTCTGTCTATCATCTGGCTATCTATTTAGATGCATTAAAAAGAAAAAGGAAATGTATCCGAAATAACACATGGTGAAAAGAAACCTAATATGTAGAGCAGGGGTGTCAAACTGCCGGCCCACAGGCCAAACGCGTCACGAGGAAACCGTGCCCACCCCATTGCCGGCAATGGGGAAAAAGTTCCGATATGTCGTGTGATGTCACGAGTTTGACATTCTGATATAGAGTTTTATATAAAAATAAATCATTACATTTCATTCAACTTTACTTTTATAACAGATCACAACAAGCACATTACCTTGCATCCCTTTTCTGTATCATGACCCCAGAAATTTTCTTCACAAAGTTCACATTTTTCTCCAGTTGTATGAGGAGAACAAATGCATTGTCCCGAATCTTTATCACATGTATTGTGAGTATGAGCACAATCACAAGCTGAAATTAGGGCAGGAGAGAAACAAGTAAACTAGAAGAATTATTAGTTGATTTTTTTAAATCTAGGATTTAAGAATTCTAAAAGTCAGTGCCAATCCTAACATTTATTTTCCAATTTTTACTAAAAGAAATTTCTTTCTTTCCTTTCACTATTGTGCCTATATCAAGTAAATGTTTTTGTAATTAAATGTGATGCTTTTTTCAGTTTTTTTAATTATCTAATCTTTTCCATCTGTATTTACTGTTAAAATGGAATGATTTCATAATATAAGAGACAGAGAGAGAGAGGCAGAGAGGAAGAGATAGAGTCAATTTGGTGTAGTGATTGGGGTGCTGGTCTAGAAACTAGGAAACTGTGAGTTCTAGTCTTGCCTTTGGCACAAAAACCAGCTGGATGGCTTTAGGTCAGTCACTTTCTCTCAGCCTAAACCACCTCACAAAGTTGTTGTCATGGGAAAACTAGGAGGAGAAAATAATATTAAGTATGTTCACTGCCTTGAGTTACTTATAAAGTAGTAAAAATCTAATTAATAAATATAAAATATCTAATTAATAAATATAAAATCTAATTAATAAATATAAAATAACTACACTGTATATAAGGATCGAAAAACAGGTTAGATAGCATAATTCATGTTAGTGATAACATGAATATCTTCGAAGAGGCATTTTACATCACTTTGGTATCCTTGTTTGCAGCTTCAGGGGCAATTGGCTGCTTTCACTTTTAGAGCAACTTTAGTTATTGCATGATTGGTTTATGAGCTAAAACTTACGTTTGCAACCACCATCCTGAAATGCATAAAACCCTGGAGCACAATGATCACACTTGTCTCCAGCCACTCCTAGTGCACAGCGACACTGTCCTTCCTCATTACAATCTTCTGCAGCTGAGCCAATTTTACTGCAATGGCAGAGAAGGCAACTAGCTGTAGTACTTAGGCCATAATAACCAAACTGTAAGAAAGAAAAAAAAGGGGGGGAAGCATTTGGGTACTTTTTAAATCATTCCCCTCCTCTTCCTGTTTTTCCTATTCTTTTAATACCACATTTGCTATAGATTCTTGCTGTTCTCTTTGGAAGCACATTAGAAAGGAGTGGTTTTTCACTCTACTTTTTACAGCACAAAGAAATGTAAAATGGTCTAGGATTCATCTAATCAAAAAAGAATAATGAACATTTTAACAGTCAACTATCTACTAATGTCTATCAAAATGTAGAAACACATTAAGATCAAGTTGATTAGACAAAGCCAATTAAATGCTAATGTCATAAATTCAACATTTAGAGGGAAATTGAAAAAGTACTATCTTTTATTAGCATATAAACAGCTCCTTAAACATGTTAGCTATTTCATATTTTGATAGCTATAATTTGCAAGTGTTGATAACATGAAACTACTTTCAAAGGTATAGTTTAGGTTAGTGAGATAAAAAGCTTGTTTCATTCGTAATTAATGCCAGATCCTCTGGCTGAATAATTTTAGCCTTTATATTTTTAACCCATGGTTCAATTCTAAAACATGACCAGAGGACAGGACACTATGATAATGAAGAGTTTGATTACACCAATCCAAGCATGCCTTTCTGGAGCTGAGCAGGACATCTTTTTTCTATTTTGCTCTATTTAGTTTCCTAATTTTCAATTACTATGAAAAAAACTAAAGTTTAATGATAAACAGATACTTCAATTATCTGAAGCTTTATCTCTATCCAACAGCTTTATTGCATTCACACAGACAGTATAGCTATCATTTTAAAAGTTCATTTTTTTCAATCAATTAGATTTATAAAACTGATCTCAGAATTCCTTGAAGGCTGGGAAAGATGGTTTTATCTCTTTCCCATCATTCCTGCCTTGCAGATGCCAGCTGTATTTGGAGTAAAGAAAAGAGACAGATGTAAATTGTGTAGGGTGATGAGAAGGTTCTATTCCCCAAGATCTCTGGAACTAAAATTAGGACAGTCTGTTATGACCCCTCAGTATGACTTCAATCACAAACAAAATCCCATTTTTTTTTGTATCATATTAGTTTGATTTTGTCTTTTACTGATTATGAATTACATCCAGATCATTTCACTGTTATACTGAAATTTAAATATATGTATGTACAGTAGGTAGTAAAAACATAATGTGTTAGTAACATAACTGCTGTTTTTTACCAAGCATTTATCACATCTCTTCCCGACTACATTAGCTTTGCATTGGCAGAGGCCAGTTTCATGATGACAGATGCTGGAAACAGAGCCATTTATGTCACATTCACAAGCTTAGATATAAAAAGAACAAAGAGAAAAGATGAATATTATTGTGAGAAAATACACAGTAGTAATTATAACGTGTTTTTTTTCCAAATAAAATGTAAAATTCAATTCTTACTTTTCTATAGTCTAGGCATTATTATTTTAAATTTATATCGTTGGAACAAGAAATTAATGTTACAATCCAAAGAATTCCAACTGTAACTGGAAAGTATTTCTACTCAAAGTCTATGAAAAGTTCACACAGAACATCAATTCAAAACAAGATATGATACCTCCAATGAATGTGTTAAGTACCAGGGAACCAAATGGGTTTATCAAGTCAAAATGGCTGTGTTCAACTTACAAATACTTTATATTTAATTGACCAAGAGGAACTCACCATAACAATGTTTGTTGGTCACTGCATCCCCATAATAGCCATCAGCACACCTCTCACAGTGACGTCCTACAGTATTTCCAATACATTTCAAACATTCCCCTGTAACTGAGTGACAGTGGCCATCTTCCAGTGGGTTTACATTGCCATTACAGTCACAAGGAAGGCATGGTTTTTCTGGCACTAAAGGATTGCCATAATATCCATTTGCACATCTGCACATAACACAGGACAATTGTATCAGAGTAAAAGTCTGTTTTTTATGCCACCCATCTGACTGATGCAGTGAATATGTTCAGTTAAAAAGTCTACAATCATATTCCTTATTTTCATAATTTGGATCTATTATGCAAAAAGAAAAACCATTATAGATATTATCATTGTCAATATACTATTCTTGACAAAGTTATAAAAACTGCAAAAGATGGATCAATACAGTAACAACAGCACTTCCAGGGAAGAAATGGCAAACTGCAGACAGCTCTGCTAAAAGTAGAGCCGATGACTGCAGAGCTGACAATAGACCAACTTGTCATAATTCATCTCCATTTCTGGACAGGACTTGAAATCACCCACAGATGCTCCATATAGTTGTTCTTCACAAGGAGACCAGAAGATAGTCTTCTCTGGGGAAGTTTAGAGCTCTGGGTGATGAGGGAATAGTAATCTTTTTGCTCAAACCACAGTTGGCGCTTTCAAAAGAACACTATGTTTCCATGCTTTTTTTTCTAATTACTTTCAGAAATTGCTGCTTAACTGCTTTTCAGTTATTAATAACTTTTGGATCAACAATCAAGCTGATTGTTATTGTTACCTGACTAACAACAATTTCTGCTACTACATACCTTTCACATCTGGCTCCTGCATAACCTGGAGAACATTCATCACAGACAACTTCACCTCTGTTATCCAAATGACAAGTAGGACTGAAACTAAAAATAAATAACTTAAGAATTATGTGGTAGATTATATAAAGTTAATACATCAAATGAATGCACAGTTAATGACTGCACAATATAATAATTAGAGCAGGGGTCCTCAACCGTGACAATTTTAAGACTTGTGGACTTTGCTGGCTGAGGAATTCTGGGAGTTGAAGTCCGCAAGTCTTAAAGTTTCCAAGGTTGAGGACCACTGAATTAGGGGATACAGGAGAATACAATCATTGTTCAATTCTATATGTGCCTATTCAGAATCAAGCCCTACTCGTTACTGTTTCAAATTGTATTACACTTGTGTAAGTGTATACACAATTTCTTTCTTAGCTACATGTGTGTCTTTCCACATAAACAACTTTACAGTACCTGAAAGATTCAGTATTTAGGAGAGGAAAAACTTTTAAATCCCTTAAAAGATAAACCTTTCCAAAATACCTGAAACAATTTACTGGATTGCTACCAGTCACTTGGAAAGCATAAACTATTATTATCTATATAAATAAGAATGTAAATGTTCGTTTGTTCAAAATCTTAAATCTCAGAAAGTTCTTCCCCAATTGCTTTGAAATTTTCACACAACGTTGCATTCGAATATGCGCGTGTTTTTATATGCCTATATTATATAGATGTCACATCTGTGACAGGTAAAAACATGCTTTTTTTGAAAAACAGCACCATCTGTTGGACGTAAAAGCAACACACGCTAACCAGACTGAGCCACAGCAATGCGTGGCCGGTACAGCTAGTTATTTATATAAATAGAAAAATGCTAGCAGATTTTCTTTTAGTATTAGCAGCACACAACACTACTTTTCAAGAAGGGCTACGTTTTAACAAAGAAAAACATACTTCCTCTTTTGGACAAACAAGAGCGATAAATTCAGATGAATGAAGTGGAACTTTTGTCTTGATTTTTTCCCTTCCCTTTCTGATTTTCCTTTCTCCTCCATTCCCTTGTCTCTTAGTGGCCCTATTTGTCTGAAATTGCTGGAGTTTTAATATATCATTTCCAATAAGCAGTTTACTTGTTAGTAGCACTTCTCAGTGGACAGGCACATGGCTGGCAATCCTCTGTGGTTCCTCTGGAAGGCATTCCGTAGAATCCTGGCAAACACTGCTCACAAGATTGCCCTGTAGTATTATGCTCACAAGCCTATAAAACACACAAGAAGCCTTTTGATACTTAATTTGGATGGAATTTTATTCCCAGAGGGAGCTCAGCATGAAAAAGCATACAGATTTAGTATTCAAAGAACAAACACAAAGAAACAGGGATGCCAGTGGCAATAAGCTTTTGTAAACTCACAGCAACAACTAATGCGTGTGCCCTCTACCAGAACTGATACACACATTTGATTTCATAAATTAGCTGCCTTATTTTGATGGGCAATTAAAGCAAATGAAATGGTATTTTAGTCTGGCAATCATACAATTCATGCACTCCATTCTTAAAAAAATAATGTATAAGAAAATATTACTTGGCAATAATGTTCACATTATTGATTGATTTTTTAAAAAAATCACATAATTATCAGTTATGAGCCACCCAGAATTGCTTAGATGAGATAGTCAGCCATACAAATAAAATAAAATAATAAAATAAAATGCTCCAGTATTTTTCCCCTCAGATCTATAGGAATTTGGCCATTGACCTGAATGGAAAAAAGCTTTAGCTTGCATGGAGTTTCTTATAAAATATGTTTTACATTAGTTGTAACTAAAGACAGACTTTCAATTACTTTAATATGCACAAAATGTAGACTTTAAAGGTAGCAGAAATGGTTAGGAAAATGCCTATCCCTCGTTTGATGCATGTTTAAAAATTTAATATTTTACAAACCAGGAGTGGTTTGATCTTAGAAGCAGGACACAAATGACTTACAATGCAAATACCACGACTATCACATTCTGTTGCATGACCATTGCAATCACACGGCAGGCAAATCCCTCCAAAAAGTATTGCATCCACTCGATAGTACCCAGGAACACAAGTCTAAAAATAGTATATAAAAAAGAGATTACAGCAAACATGTGTTAATTATCATAAACTTGCCCTTACAGATTCAGTATAGCAATATTTTGAAAACCTATTAAATCAAATCAAATTATGTTACCTATAAATAAGACTTTACAATTTTTTGGGAAATTTAACTAGAGCTGATTACAGATCTCTCTGTGTCTGACAACAATTTCAAAAGCATTTAAATAGTGGGCTAAAATATCTGAGTTCTTTCTTATAGCATATAAAAGAAAATAATCAGTTTTATAAAGATATTAATACCTTTATGAGTTTCATTAATAAATAATAAATTAATAATAATAGTTTTCACAAAAAAGGATAACAATTATTTGATTTTAATTTTAGATCTAGATATAGAGAAAACTGAACTTTCACCAGGTTCCTTAAAATAAATTTAAGAGAGAGGTTATGTTATTCACAAAGTGGAAAAAATGTGAAGTTGTTTTAGACAGACAGAATAAGAAATGGTATTTTGGCACTGCAATTTTCAAAACTGCAGGTCAAAAGGCAGTTTGTATGTAGGCTATAACCAGGGCTTTTTTTCTCATAGAACGCCTAGAATGGAGTTCCGGCACCTTTTTTGGATGGAACCTTGTAGGGTAGGCAAGGCGGGTTGTATGACGTGTGTGAGTTCAGGCACCTTTTTTTTTTTTTAGAAAAAAAGCACTGGCTATAACTACTTACTACTAATATATTTATATATATTAGGGATGTGAGAGAAAACCAAATTTGAAGGAAAAAGGGTGACTTGGTATGCATGTGAAATGCTTTAAAAGTCATATTTTTCCCTTTGGACCACATTGCCCTAATATTCATGCTAAATGGCTATCTTAGAGTTAGTCATAGAATTATCTTAAGAGCCAGTTTGATATAGTAACTAAGGTGTGGCCCTGGAAACCAGGAGACTGTGATTTCTAGTTCCACCTTAGGCATGAAAGCTGACTGGGTGACTTTGGCTCAGCCACTCCTTCTCAGCCCAACCCACCTCACACGATTATTGTTTTGGGGAAAATAAGAGAAGTACTATTGCTGCCTTGAGTTATAATAAAGGTAGGAAATAAGTAAGTAAATCAATCAATTAATCTTTGGAAGTCTTATTCACTGAGGAGAAGGACATTTTTATGGTAGATGCCCCACAATTTTGGAGTTTCCTGAAAGAAATAATGACTGCACATATTATGCCATTTTGGCAATGCTGGCATATAATATTTTATTCCAATCATATTTATTAAACATGGCCTTTCTTAGTTATTTTTTATTTTTCTTGATTTTGCTGATCAGTGGCCCCTGACTGTGCGTGATGATTTTTACTTCTTATACTTGGTTACATGCTGATGTTTTTAGGTTGTATTTCTATATATGGCTTCATTAATGAGTAAATTGATCATGTGATTCCTTTGGAAAACCCATTTTAAAATGAGGCAATAATACTGCATAACAAACAAACAATTAAATATTGAAATTACTTCACAAGATAGTCCGGAGTAACCCTGTGGACATTCACAATATTCTACATGTACAGCTGAAGACAGGTCTATGAGATTAGCATTTGCTGTATCCAAAGTCACAGAGTCCAACCTGTAATAACATAAAAATGGGAAGTCAATAATGTAAAGAGTGTATTGGTTTTTTCACTGTGTAAAATAATGCATATCTACAGAATAAACAAATGCCCAGGTAAAACTTTGCATTCTTTCTTGTTCTACATGCATAATTTGACATAAAATACATTTTACAATCTATTATACATTCTAAATAAAATCCAGTTCTAATCAGTAGGAGCTTTACAACACATTTGTAATACAGCCAGGATCCTGGCAAATTTGGGTAACGGATAATACAAGAAGCAGCCATTTCAGGTCAAATTATTTGCCTATATGGCACAGCACTGTTATTCTTCTACATTCCCTACCACTTAATCCCATTTAATTAAAAAAAATTGGGAACCTGATATTATCCCAAACTTTAAATTTTTTAAAATAAATAATATATTGAATGCTTCTGAGATTCTTTTGTGATTTTTTTTCTATGGCTTTTTCTATATTTTCTATAGATTTTTAAACAGATCTTTACATTACCTATATACAGATTTTTCTGCAGTGTTGTAACTGGCCCTAAGTAGAATACGGGTAACATTAACTAAAACTGTCATCAGGGTGTCTCGATCTATTGACTTCTTGGTATTAAAATCAACAAAGTTTTCAGAGATAAGATGCACTGTTCTGGAATATTCCTCATATGGTTGTAAAGAGAGTCCTTCAGATCTTGTAGACAGAATATGTCCATTGCCCTGAAATGACAGGTATTATTATTTTATACATTTCTAAAGTTTAACTGGAAATTGTTTAAAATTCCACTTAATGGAAACCATACAAGGTTCCCAGGATTCCTCTTTTCGCCAAAACTCACTCTATCTTTTCCAAACTTTACATTTCTTTTAAGAGCATGTAAGATGTTTTGAATATGAACTGTTCTTAATGGAAAACATCAGTTTCAAATGTCATATATCTTTATCTATATGTCAATTATTTTGGAAGTACATCAAGATTTGAAAAAAAGTATGTTTCAAGTGCAAAACCTTCCACTTTCTAAATAGTTAGTCTCTGCTCAAATGGGGTGTTTTGAACAATCCAAACTCAAAACATTTTGCACACCATTAATTTATTTCAAACCATCTTATACTATTTTCCATGTGTAACAGAATATTATATCCTAGATCACGAATTTAAATACATTTTCATGGAAATAAATCCACTTAGCCATAAAACCCCCTTAACATCATTACTTCCTCATCCAAACCAAGTCTCAATACAACTGGAAGACACCATGGTGGTGAAGACAGCTCTTGACTTTAAATCAGATGCACTGACAGAGTACACAAACTTTAAAAGCCAAAATTCAGAAGTCTGTAGGACAGAAGAGATTTCCAAGTTCATTGTTGCAATGGTATCTTTTTTCAACTTTCTACTAAAAGACCATGTGCAGAAATTCAGAAGCCCCTCTAGGAAGCACTGCAAAAAGGAACAAGAACTGCCACCAGAAGAGGGAACTACCAAGTTAGGAACTTCCTCCCTCAAAAACATTCAGAGTACTTTATGCATTCATACTATGTATCCTTGCCCATTTAATATGATTACCTGGATAATAACATCGACACTAGATACCAGGTCACTATCTGTACTGTCCATGGGAATATCGTAAGACACGGTATACTTTAAATAGCCACCAAAGGCAGTGAGCTGAAAGCATAAAAGGCAAAAAATCCAAAGTGTTATTTCTTTTTCATTTGTCAATATGAAGTGTAAATAACATAGATTTCACCTTTTATCTGTTAAAAACCTAGATAAGACACAAAACAAATAAATCATAAGAATAATCTTATTTTCTATATTTACCATCACATTCTAACATTTATGTCTGACTTGACAGTTCTACATTTAGTGTTGTTTTTTTAATTCCTAACTTCATTTTAGTTTCACTATCTTTTCATTACAGAAAATCGTAAATTTCAAGAACCAATTCTTAGTCTTTGGAACAACTGAAGTTTCTAAATATAATTATTGTTTAACTCTAAATCGTACCTTGCAACAGTTCTATGAATATTTATTAAACCAAATCTTTCCTGTACAATGAGTAAATCATAAATATAGACATGGGGAAATAGCTACTATATTTAAACGCACATTCCTTTTTGTGCACAAAGTTTGCATCTTAATTCCAACACCAATTATTGGAGGAGGCAGAAGTGACATATATTCCAGAGATAATTTTAATGATCCTAGTATGGTAGGAATCCTAGGAAAGATGCCCTATGCATTTTTAAATGTTACATTATATACATAATACAGTGAATATGCAATGCAGAAAACTTTATACATACACAGACCATTGGAAACAAAACATTTATCCCAAACTACTCACCTTATTTCCAAGGTATGATTTAGGTGCAGACCAGTAATAAGGAGGCTTTAGTACTTTGGCAACCTCAGTGTTGTTAATACTTATCTGATGAGATTTATCAAAGTTATCTTCTTGAGGTTGTATAATTTTTGAAGTATAAGGAGTTGTCACCTCCCACCCAATCATAGAAGACACCTTAATAAAATAGGAAACATGATCAAGTATTTAACTAATCAAGGAACAGAGAGAAAGTTTGTGTTTTGCTTTAACAAAGCTCTATTTTTATTTGGCCCAAATATGATATTGTATTATGGCAGAGTAATCCACAGAATAGAAATCATAGGATATAGTTTTTCCCAATGAAAGCATTAAAATACTTTATATAGGAATGTGATTTCAGAATAGCTGTTTATTTGGGCTGTACAAAGAGTTTGAGTGGCTTTCCCAGGTCACAGGTAGTATGCCACGCACAGATAATGCTTCTCTACTGGGGCCACTAGCCAACTGAAGAAGCTGTCCATCAGAACTATTTAGAGATGACCTAGGAAGGTTTCGGCACATCTTCCAGAAGATGCCTCACACTTTTACTGGTTTATACATTTAAATCAATTCATAGTTGTATATGAAAGTAGCAGCATATATAAGATTATCCCCTAAATGTAGTTTTCAGGCCTTCGTAGAATAGTAACACAAACAATATTATAGAAAAACATGCAAGATCAAATGTAATAAGCCTCGGGCATCCCTAATTGAATAAAAGATGAAAGAGCCAGCCTGGCATGTATTAATGAAAGGACATGGGCAGAGGTATTTCCCATTCAGTAATGTGCCCAGCCAGGATTTGAGTGTGGCACCAGTCCCCTAGGCAGGGTGGTAGAATACCTATTATCATCAGAGAGTGGCTATCCAGACTGTGTTCCTGCCCATACTTTCCTGTTTTCCTGACTTTGTTCATGTCATACAATGCTGGTATACAAACAATTCCCTACTGGAAAACACTTTTATCAGTTTTTAAACTGATTATTGCAATACTTACTTCCAGAACTAAACATTTTAAATTGCAAATGCTCAAAGTTCAAGCATATCTTTAACTATTAGTGCTTGATTTTCAGTAGAGAACTGTATGCAAACCTGTAACTGAACAATACTTTCAAATATTATAATATATCTCCAGATAATGTGCTGCTTTCATATAAAGTAGAAGTATGAAATATGTTTTGTTCATTTGGTATCCAATCCTTTATGTTAACCATACTCCACTTCTTGGACACTCTTTGGCTTTTTAGCCTGAACCTAAATTGCAACCCCATACAACCAAGTTTTTATTGAGTGAAATAATTAACAGAGTAAAAGCATTTATGGAAATCAGGCTGAGAGGGAATGCCTGGCAGGAAAGATTAACATAGGAAGGGTGTTATGCTTGAAGAAAATAAATGAGATACTAACTTTGGAATATTAGTCTTATTTACCTTAGCAGTGGACCAAGGAAGACTTTCACACACATCAGAAACACCAAAACAGAAGCACTCAGTGCAACCCTGAGGGTTTCTTTCTTGGAGATTATAGAATCCAGATTTGCAACTGTCACAATTTTGTCCTTCTACGTTTTCCTGTGAACATAATCATAACCAGCATACAATAAAACCTTAACCTTTTCTAGGACTTTTCTTCTGAAAGAAAACATAAAGTATTGAATAGAAATTTTTCACCCCTTATATATTAAGTGTCAATACGTACTTGTATTTTATACTAAGAATGTCACATGATAAGCAAAAATACCAACCATCATGTTGGCTATGAATACTGAGAACCATAGCCTCCACATATCTGAAGAATGTCAGGTTCAAAAAAGGCCATCTACTTCGTGATCACAAAATTCAACTTTCACCATTATTATTTTCTGGTTTGAATTTCATTCAGTTTCTTATTTTGGCACTTACAAGCTAAATATTGAACCTGATGCCAGGGAAATGAAGTTTCTTGAAGCTCATAAATTCATATTAGAACATCGACTTCATTATAGATAGTAGATAAGTAAATAATGTGTGAGCAAATGTGAGGGGTTAAAAAAAATTAACTAATGTCCTCATGTCCTCTCAATGTTAATTAACATTAATTTATTAACATATTAATATTAATGTAATATTCATTATTATTTTGAATCACTCTTTCCAAGCCAAGGTTTTCTCATACAGTCTGATGCATATTGGGCCAATGTAAAATGTATGAGTTCCAAACCAACTGAGTACCAACGTACCACTGTAGAGTAAATCAAAGTAAAAATCAGAGCTGTACTTACTTTGCAAAGGCAAGGTTTAGTACATGGATCATCATTGATGCTGCCAATGAGGCTACAATTACAGCGTATGCAATTTGGATAACCTTGGTAGCCAAAGGCACAATGGTCACATTTTTCTCCAGCATACCCTTCCTTGCAATAACATTGACCAGGCTGAATACCTTGAAAAAATAGAACAAATATAGAAAGAAGCAGCTATATTTCAATTGCTACAATATAAGTCAGATTTGATTTCCCAGACCAAACCTATGATGTTCAGTGATTAGTGATGGCAATGGAATTACGGGAATGACTTTGGGAGACAGATGGAAGAGCCAAAGACTCGACAACAATGACAAGTAACGGTTGAGCCTGCAGAAGGAATGTGGGCATGGCAAGCATCTGAGAAGGGAATCTCCCCAGTTTCTTGGACTGTGAAGGCAATAGGTGGAGATGTGTACTTTCAAACTTGCAAGATTCTGTTAAAGCAGCAGCTACCAACCTTTTCTATATCCCGCACCCCTAGAACACTTCTGATATATTCTCGCACCGCTTACAAAAGTTCAAAATAATGGCAACGAATTATGCATATACACTATAATTTTGAAAACCCAAGTTTTCACATCCCCTGGAATATTGTCTCGCACTCCCAGGGGGGTGCAAGCACCCCCGGTTGGGAACCCCTGTGTTAAAGTAACATTTAATAAAGTATTTCTAAGTGTGCTTCTTCTCTGGACTACCTTGCAAGGCTGACAATTGCAGAAGCGTTACCAGGCAGCAAAGAAAACCTGGAAAAGCTATACTTCAATGCTCTTTTTTTATGTGTTACATAACTTTTCAGCTTTGACTGAATGGGATATAAATATGTTCTTTTCTATGTCAAAAATTAATCCAGATTAGGGATTATCAACCAGAAGCTTCAGCGTGAAGCATACAAAAGCCATTCAGTACCCCTTAAACAACCTCAGCCAAATTCAGGAGGAAAAAATAAAAATCCATCCCATTAATGTGGCTCAGTCCAATCTGCATCACTGCTCCAGTGACTGCAGCCCCATATTTTTTTAATTTTCAGCCCCCTCCCAATAGTAACTTGATTCTTTAAAGTTTGTTTCAAAGAAAAGATACACATACATGGCACTTGGGAACTGAAGGAAAAATCATATCACACAAACATTGGAATAATTATATCACACACACAATGGAATTACCAGAGTAATTACTATGACTCTTGGCTAAAGATCTTAATGCATGTTGTTTAGGTACCTATTACAACCTAAAACACAAAGATAAGGAGAACTGCTTACAATGTCCAATTTCCAGCTTGTTGCTTATTCTTCATATAGGTACTAATAAGATCCAAAGAAACTGAATTTAGTTTTAAGTTTGGTTGTTTCTTATACAACCAATACCTGATTTTGTAAATGTTAGCTAGACCATTATCTTTTACCTTTTTGGGAGTCAGCATGATTATTGTCCTTAACACAGTCAAAGCCAAAAGATCCAAATAAATCACATTCACAGGGACGGCAAGGATTGTTGTCATAAGGAGACACCTGGAATATACAGCATTTTAATTTTTATTAATTAGTCGATGCTAGTGAAAATGAATAGTTGTTCCTGTTTAGGAGTATATATGAAGACACAGATCTCAACAGGAAAGTATGATTAATTATTCCCATGGGATGGGTGCAAGGCAACAACTAGATCAGGGGTAGTCAACGTTGGCTCTTTTATGACTCGTGGACTTCAACTCCCAGAATTCCTGAGCCAGCACAGCTGGCTCAGGAATTCTGGGAGTTGAAGTCCACGAGTCATAAAAGAGCCAACGTTGACTACCCCTGAACTAGATAAATGCAAGTATAAATGAGGTAAAGTTCAAACCAGCCATTTTATAGCATGGGGAAACACTCTGTTTTTTACAAAAAGGAACACAGGTTAATTTCTAAAAACAGGAGCATTTGTACAACCCTGGCCCTATGGTTTGAGTATGACTCTGTGGGGAAAAGACACCATATATGGAAACTGGCACTGATGAGCCTGTAAAACAGCCAAATGCTGTTCGATTTCTTAAATTGAGAAGATGCTACTAAAGAATCCTATAAATCAGAAATTCCTTCTTTTGATCTAATATATACTTGTAAATGACCTCTTGGCATATGTTAAGTTTATACAATATAGGTAACAGATACAATAACACAGAATATACACAAGGTACTATTTGCACAAATTGTTTTACATGAATTCACATATTAAATCACATATTAAATGAACAAGAAATAAGATTCAAAAGAACTAGATGTCAATTTTTAGCATTGTTTACAAGTAATGATATACAATATTTCAGATTCCTCTTACTTTTTGTGGTCTGTAATAGCCATCACTACACATATCACAGTTTATTCCTGTGGTGTGTTGTGTACAATTTATACATACTCCACCTCCTTTGAATTGACCAAAAATATTTATACTTTTTTTTTCATCTGCTATTCTCTGGTCATAATAACAATCTTCTGTTTTGTTGTGACAGTTGCATCCTAAAAAAAAATCAATACTCTTTTAATATGTGTTTGTGCGTAAATAAGTGAATCAACCAGCTAAACAAACTGAATGCATTATATTCTATACACAAAATTATCCTTTTACATAACATATTAAACACTGACGGAACACTTTAATCTTCTATTAAAATACATGATCATTAATAGCCACCAGAGTTGCCTAATCAGAGAGATGGGCGGCTAAATAAATAAATATAGTGAAAAAGATTATGGTGCTAATGTTTATTTAGTATTCTCAATTTTATTCTAATAAGATTGTTTATTAAGTCAAATCTAATTTCCTAGAATACATTTATACCTAACATGACAACTTTCACCACAAGTGTTGTGTTCACACTGGCACTGTAGTTTCTACATAAATGCATTCTGATCCTCAAAACTTATAGATACTGGATTATATTTTTTATGTAAAGATTAGAATGAAAATTAAAATTATGAATATCTAAATTTTAGATAAGGTGCCATACTGATAATTTATGCTCCAAAAATGATAAGTTTATAGATTTTATAAGTTTGGTTTAAATTTTGCAAGTCATAAATTTTGAGTATTAGAAATATTTATGCATCATTAAAGAGAATTCCCTTTGTCAAACTCATGGCTTTAGAGATGGATGGATTACTTATCTATTCAGTAAACTCTAAAGGAGCTACCATTTAGTACTACATACTTTCACATTTGTTGCCAACAGAAATAGTTCCAGGTCTCCAGGGTGCCTGATGGTAGCCAGGACAACACTCATTACAACTTTCACCACAAGTGTTGTGTTCACACTGGCACTGTAGTTTCTACATGAAAATAAAATAAATTACAATACAATTCTATTACCAATCACCTTAAAACAAAACCATTTATCTAAGATTTAAGAAATACTTGCAATATCCTCTAAATGTTTAGGGCTGGATAGATTCTTGTGTATAGCACAAGTCTATACAAAACCTTGGTGTAAAATCTCATCTGTAAGAGTTTTAGGAATCCAATGAAAAAGCAACAATAGCTCAAGAAACTGATAAATACAGCCATTCAACAAAAGAAAAACAAAAGGGAGATGAAAGGGAAAAGGTTCTTTTAAAATCCAGATTCAACAAGCAAAGCTGCTTGTTGATAACAGACAGATTCTACAAGTTGCAAATGTGGATTCTTATTTAAAAGAAGACATGAGAAACTGAATGACTTAATAAAGAATTGGAGAAAGTTACATCTGTCTCTGCCCAACATAGGCTGTTCTGAAGAAAGCGGAGCAAAGGTTGGCCTGATTAGTATTGAAAAGGCAGACTATATGGATACCGAGGGCTTGAAAGCTGGGGGAAAAATTCAGCAGAAACTGATATGCCAATGTAGTCATTTGAAAAAATTCTGTACTGTTGCTTCTATCCCTTTGCTTTCCTGATTCATTAGAGTTGAAAACAAAGTTCCAAATGATATCTCTTTTTTACCATTGGTTTTCTATGTAACAGAAAACCAAAACATTCCAATACTGCATAGTATCTAAAATGGTAAGTCTCTGTTTGACCTCACGGCTGGCTTTTCTCTGTGACTTTATATATTTCATAAAATACCACTTTGGTGTAATCTATTTGGATCTTAACTGTTCATTTCCGGAACACTGTCCTCATTGTCCTATTTTTTTTCTAGTTATAAAAAAATAAAAGCATTTATTTTCCAACGAGAACTAAAAACCTGTTAAATTTCATGCTCTTAAATTCCAACTCTCAGTAACAAGTTACTCTTAATTTACTCCATTCCGTGATTCTTCATCATCTATTTAACATATGATACATGATTGCAGATAAGTAATTTCAGCACTTTGTATAAAAATAAACAAATTACCAGAGAGGTAAATTTGCGAGACGGCAAAAAGCTAATAATACATTAAAGCATAATATAGAAAGATAAACTGTAGTATATATTTCATTTACAAAATAATTTCTCAGATAGTTCAAACACTCAGCTATGAAAATAATTGCAGAAGATGTGAAGAGACTTTTAAAAATTTAAGACATTTTAATGATTCAGGTCTTAAGCAAGTTTTCACAGGGCAGTGTGCTTGTGCAATGCTTAGACATTTTTAATACTTGTCATGTCTGCACAGCTGCTTGTTTGTATGCAGATGTTATCTATATATGAATTTGTAACTATGTATACAAAGCAGTTTTATTTGGTAAGGAAGATGTCCAGAAAAGGAAACATAATGCGTTTGAAACATAATGCATTCTTATGTAGCATATTTTCTTAATTCCTACTTAATGTTAAAGCAATCCACTGGATGTCTGCTCCTATTCCTATAAGCTTTTTTTGGATTTGCATGTATTTGTTCACTGATTTAAAAAGCCCCATAGTTCACATAAAGTTAATATAACAGAAGGCAAAGAAAAATGTCAGAAACACTATCATTTCAATAAATAGCAGACAACCATATTATCTTTCTAAATAATCTTGCTTTTCAAAAAAGGGCAAAAATGTGTATTTGTCTGTAGGAAGAAATAAAAAAATAGTACCTTTGTGTCTTTATCCAAAGGACAACTTCGAGCATGGCCATAGCAAATGCACATACCTCCAATAGAGATGTCTTTTATTGAATAGTAATACTAAATAAAGCAAAGTTTGATTCATTAAGTTACTGCATTTAATATTAAAAATACAACTGGCTAATATTCATTAGAAAATAATGATGCATAAATATTTAACTATAATTTTAAAAAATCCAGTTTCTAAATGGCAATTGACTTTAGTTAGAATTTACATATGAGCAGGTCTTCATACATACATACATATACATACATATACATACATACATACATACACACATTACATTGATCAGTCAGGGCATTGGAATCATATTATGTTCGATCTAAAAATATGTACAAATAACAGAACTGTTCAAGGCTATACATTAAAACGCAATACAACACATTATATTGCATAAGCTCAGATTCATGTGTTCAAAATTAAAATTACTCTAATATATGGAACTATTTTAATAAAATTGTTTTTAAAGAAAGTTTTAAAAAATAATTATGTCTTCATTCTCATAGAAATGAAACAATAATAGTTTTAGTATGGTTGTTGCACCTGTTAGGTTAAGTTAAGTGTAAAATAGTATTAGAGCTTCAGATAATAGTTCTTCACTACTATTGTTGTTGCTCTACAACAAAGCACTGTTCACAATATATCACGACATTTCTAAGATCAAGATGCTACCCGTATTTTATATAAAAGTACACTGAGTGCATAAACTGAGTATGTATTCTTGATTTTTACAGAACAAGGTTTATGAGCTAGAAATCAGTGTCAAGGCAATGTATTTTTAACTTGGTATCATGTTCCTTGCCTCACATGTTGGCTTCAACAATCAATTCTGTATTTGAAGAGTTTACTAATATTTAATTAACTAGGTAATAAACAAATTGACCCCGAAAGAGCTCTAAATCCACTTAAATCCCTTGTCGTAGTTACCAAACAGATAATTGGCTAATATGGAAGGTAACCCATGTCTCATTACATTACCATATACATTATTTTAGCATATTGATATATTTCAGTATGCCTAATTTCCAGGAATATTGTTTAAAAAGCACCCTGTAAGACAATGATAAGCAAGTTTCTTAATTTAAGAAAAATTAACAAGCATTCTGGATCTTAACGTAGCCTATAAATGCTATCAAGGCACAGATAACAGGTTTCAAACATACTGATAATAAGCATCACCTGCTTACCCTTCTTGTAACAATAGGATCAACATCTTTAGGATCATGGTGACTAAGAGTCATGAGATCAGCATTAAGAGTTCTTATCCGCTGCAATCGGAGTCGGATATATCTTGCAGAGGTAAACTCCAGTAATGTTGGTGAAGGGTCATCAGCACTAGGTCTCCCATTGATCAGTGATGTGTGTATCTAAACAACAAGACTAATTTAATTATAAACATATTGCCCACATTTGTGCAAAAATAACTGTGGTATTTCCTTGTTCACAGGCTTCTGTAGGAATTTAGAATAATCTACCTGAGCCAATGAGCTTATAGTAAACCAAAACAAAAGCTTTTGTATGATAGTAAAAAAGATCAAAAGAAAAATGATGGAACAATCAAAGTTTTGTGAAACTTAGGCCAAATAGTGTTTTGTTTTCTTATTTGCAGTTTGTTATACATGAAATTCCTTCTTGTGTATATATTTACTTATCTAAAAGTACTTTTTCAAAGTCATTTTAAAAAAAGCAGCTCAAAAACACAATAACAAAACTGGACTGATCTGCACAAGATTTCCCAAATTCAAATTCTATTATGTTCGCTGAATATCTCCTCACAACCCCCTTACATTCCTTCTTAAAGATGTTGAATCAGCTGTCTGTATCTCATACAAACTCTTTATTTCTATGGGGAGATAAACTCTGCCAAGAGTGGACCTCCCCGGAAATTTCTAACTCACAATCCTGACAAATCTCTGCTTTAGAAGTTTGAAAAAAGCACGGGAAGATCAGCAGTCCTTGACTTGTTACTAACTAACAGAGGAAAATCAAAGAAATAAACAGTGTGGAAATGCAATCATGCTGAACTTATGGATTTTACAGGACAGTAAATGTGTTTAAAGAGGTATTTTGAACTTCAAAAATATAGATTAAAAGAAACTCAACTACAATCTGCAGGATTGCAGGATCCTACAGCAAAAGGACATAATGGGAAAAGGATCTTAAGGTAGGTAGCAATTCCTAAAAAGAAAGTACTAAAAGCAGAACTGGAAAAATTCCAAAGACAAAAAAATTATGGAGAATGGCAATTAAAGCCCACAGCTCAAAAAAGTTTAATGCAAACTTGAAAACAAATGACATTATGTGAGACAGAAAAAGGAACTGGTCATTAAGACTAAAGGGCAATAGAGAATGTGTCACTAAGTTAAAGCTCAGAATGTATGCAGAGCAAATTTCTTGTTCTTTTTTCCCAACCCCTTTAGCAAAATTGGACATTGGAACAATCTATATTTTCTTCTTTGTAACAAAATAATGGAATGTATTCCATCTGTGTATATGTTTGCATGTGTGTGTTTCTGTACTCCCCATCTGTTACATCTGTATTTGTGCCCTGGGAAGTTCAGGGAGAGCTATACTTAATGACCATTTATTCAACAACTATTCGGAGTTACAGCAGCATTGAAAGTTCTGGCTGTTGCAGTGTCCCCGTGGTCATCTGATCAAAATTTGGGAACTTGACCACAGGAGCAATTCAATGCCCCCAACCTGCTTGAGCTGCAGAGCGCACAGGTGAAGCACCCTGGATAACCAACATGCTGAAGTTGCTGGCCCTGCAAGGCTTTGAAGGAGGAAAACTGGGCCAAGAACAAGCAGAGGGACTGCAGGTAGACTCTGCTGTTACATGGCTCACCTCCAGCCCTTACTGAAGCCTGCTGAAGCTCTTCCAATGTGAGGTGCAGAACATGCATTGGTCCTCCAAGAAATCTTCGTCTTTCTGCTTCCTCCAATTCTGCCACCACTCTGAAGAGTGCCTTCTTCATAGCCTCTACTTTCACCCAGGGAACATTACAGTCTCTCCAGCCTTGCCTGGAACAAAGTCTGCCACCTCCACTATCCTGTACCTTGTTGGGCCTGGCAGTCTCCCTTTGGCAGACAAGACTACACTGCCCTGGAGGGCTTGCTGTGCACATCTCAGGGCTGCCCACTCATCCACTGCCCGGATGCTGGCTAGCAGCAGAAGAAAGAAGACGGTGAAGTTGACAGCTGGATTTTTGTATAAATAATTTGAGAACTTAAACCTGCCTTCTCCTACTTGGATGGTCTCCAGATGTTGACTTTAATTCAAAGAATTCTCCAAGATTCAAAATCGGTCTGGAATGTACAGACCCTAATTCCATTTAACTATAAAATATTCAGAGTCAGGAAAGCATTAAACCCAGTTAAAGTCTAACCCAGTTAAAATTTAACCTAGTTAAATTTCCTAGCATGCTTTATTCTAAATTTCTTTTAATTATGAGTATTAGAACAAAAGTTTCAGCTCAGGACACATAAGAAATATCCAGCAATCTGATATCCCAATTTAATGTTGGACCATGATTGTAACTGCGTCTAAAGCAGTAATTTAACATTTACTAAATTAATGTTGGTAGCATTTTAGTCCCAAATACATATTCTTTTAAGGAAAAGTTTAGATTTCTTTCCTAATAGCTTTGTATTGAGGTCAGTTTTATTTGCTGATATATAAGGAAAGGCATTCATTGTAAATTAGTTTTCATTGCATAATTTCCTTATAACATGGGTTGCCTCTCTGATCTACGCCAGGCAGCAAGTATGAATAGAGCTGGTTAAAAGGCATAACAATCAACTGTTGATCTGCCAATGCCAGCTCTTTTGATCAAGCTCTCCTTGAAATGATGCCACAATTATTTCAAAGTTCAAGCTGCATTCAGTAATTCAGATTTTTATTCCACTATATTATTTTTTTCCTAAAGCAATTAAACAATTTTATGAGAAACTTTCTGTACAAAACAATTGAGATCCAGCTAAAGGATAATACGCATTTTATCTATTGTGCTTTTCAATTATTTATGAAACTTATCAACTGTCCTTCTATTTTTATAAGCAAACAAAATCAATTTCAACATTTAAAATAACAATACAAGCGTAAAGCAAAATAACATAATCAATACAAATCAAAATCAAATTTTATAAATTCTGGGAACGTATGGCCAAATTCATATCATTAGGAGAAAATTTAAAAGAATGGCAACCAGAATAAGGCCCTCTCTTTTATTAGAAATAGATACAGTCATCTGGTCACATCTTCAAAAGGGCTCTCCTAAATATTGAACAGGTTCCCAGCAGAAGAGGTGTCCTAAGCCCCTAACAACTCCTTAAATTATGCCTATAAAATAACTAGCACCCATTGTAGATTTTCCTATAAAGATACGTGATTCCTGTATCTTTCCTTTCCTGGGTTAGCAGCCTCAATGCAGTATTTTGCACTAACTTCAACTTCTAAACATTTTTCAGATAGAGCCTCACTTACAATGTGTTGGACTAATTTAGTATCAAAATAAAGAATAATTGCCTTGTTCAGATACTACCAGATCTGTGGGATTCTGCCTAGGAAGAGACTAAAAATGCCCTCCCCAAGGAGTGATTCACAAATTGGAAATACAGTGATCCTCAGAAATTAAACCTGCCTCGGGTGCTAGCAATGATGGAAAAAATATGGGGGAGGAAAAACAGGATTAACTTTTCAGCAGAGTGATTTTTGTTAACACTTTGTAAATTTATTCCCTCCATGTCCGCAAACAATAGACACATAAACCAAAAGAAAACGTACCTCTCCATGTTCAAGTGGAACAAGTTTAGAATAATAAGAGGTGCATATCACTTCATCATCTTTCTTATACGTAGGAGGGCCAAGTCTTGGTGTCACATTGTATCTGGTTAGACACTCGGTATCACTAATTGCATAGTATTGCCAGGGGCTGAATTCAATACCATTCACAGAACGTTCCAAAATCCAGTTTCCTGGCCTTGGAGCGTTAGCAGCTTTTATGATGATGTAAGCAACTTGAAAGATCTAAAAATAATGTAACAAAAAGGACCAATCGTTTACAAAAACACCCCCAAAATCAGGTTTACAGAGTTCAATAACATGTAAAGTTATTTCTTTTGATTATATAATTTATTATAGAAATACTTAGCATTACAACTGCTGATTGTTCCATAAGGGTTTTCTATACAGAGTTCCATTTAATTTTGATCTAATTTTCAGACTGAAGAGTTACATATTTTTTTCAATATAAGAAACCTTTAAAATCAGTCATTGACGGATTACAGAATGAAATGCAGTATCATAAAAATAAAACACAGAATATACTAAGTAAAGGCTGAATTACTTAAATTTTAATTAAAAAATTAAAAATATTTTAAAACTGGTTTGAATGTACTAACCTGTAGATCCATGTTAAAAGGTCTCCTTCAGACTGAATATATACAAAACTTGACATTCCTAACAATGTAATTTAATTATAAGATTTATTTTAATTATTTATTAAATATACTTGTATGCTGCCACAATCAAAAATAATTCTCAGGGACTCCATCAAAATACAATGTAAAATAAGTCCATACAAAAATAAAACACCATATTTATATGCTCTGATAGGAAGAAACAGCTTGATCACTTAAATCATACAATTTTTTTCTCTTTTAAATACTACAACATATATGTACATATATATACCCCTCATCTAGCAGGCTGCCATTTAATCATAAAATATCTAATGAGGTTCATACTAGTATTCTATCCTATTATGTAAGCTATTTGTGTGATTTAAGACAATTATGGGTTTGCTAAATCTGTAATTAGGTCTATGTAAATCTGTAACTGCTTATTTACATAATTACCAAATTGCAAATAATACAATATCATAAAAAATACTACTTTAAATTTATACCAGCTTTGGATGCTATGCATAAATCTAAAATAAATGTTCCAGCAAAAATATTCTCATATTACTCAGTTACAGTAACTGAGTTTAAAAACTTGCATAATGCAGCTGTAGCATTTCAACATAAATTTCACTTCTAACGTCTTCCTACTATTTGTGGGAAACTGAGATCCCTTAGGTCCCGTAGTCTGTCATAATATAATTATTGCATAGAATGGGGGGGGGGGTTATTTCAGTGTTTTCTTCAAAGGAAACACTCCTAATCTTAATATATTTGATACAGCTGTGCATGTTATATGTATCTTTTTTCAGGTTTGTGTTAAAAAATATACAGGTGTGCCAATAAGAATAGCCCAGAGATATTGTGATTGTGCAATGCTGAATCATTTTTTTCCTAATAAATTTTAAAGTGTGCACATCCCTAATATTTAGGAACCATCAGAGTTAACATTCCAGCTGTTGTGTATTAGAACTAATTAAGCAAATACTTGCAAATGGTGTTATTTAATTCTACTTTTCATGGGGCAGCAGGGAGAAATGGGCAAGAATGTAATGTGGGTGAAGTTCAAGCAGTGTTACTTTTATGAAATCAGGGGTCCCTGATGCTCTTTGAGCTTGGTTTTTCTTTTGCGGACGTTTCATTACCCAAACTAGGTAACATCATCATCAGTAATACTGATGATAGTTTGGGTAATGAAATGTCTGCAAGAAAACAACCAAGCTCAGAAAGTACCAGGGACTCCCTCATTTCAATCCCAAGCTACAAATATTCTCCTTTATTTGTTCTATGCAATGGCCACATATTTCAGGACTGGATTTTTGAACTCATCTTTTGTCTATGTTTAAATTTGCTGAGTTACAGTTAATGATTTTGATATTTGCAAATCATCAGGAAACAGTTGGAGCTGAAGTGCATTACTGGACCAGAACATGCTATGAATTCACATGTTATAGCATCTTTCTTTCCCATTCCCATGTTTGTAATTTACAGTGTTTCTGAGTAACTTTTCTCCCACAAGAAATCACAGGTGCAAGTGGTCTGTTTCCAAGCAAGAGTATAGGCATAAATATTTCCCTATTTTTCATAGAATCAGAGAATGTATTAGTGATATAGTACATGAAGTGAAAAACGCACGGACCAAACATATTTTGGCACAGAAGTTCAGCAGACCACTCTGGATAGACCACTATTTTAATTTCCCTTAATCACTGCCATGTGCATCCATTCAGTCATTCATTTTAAATACAGCTTAGAGGTCACTCAACTCCAGATAACTCAGGGTGACAGACATTAAAAACTAAGAACAATTAAAAAGAAAAGGAAATTAAAGAGATCATAAACTTTCAAAAGGGAAACTCCATATAACAACAAAACATCCTACCATGGCTCAAGCAATACTCTGACCCAAGACCGGGGAAAACAGGCAAGTTTTCAGCAACTTTCTGAACATCATCAGAATGGAACTTAAGTGTGCCATACACTGGATCTATCCATACCTGCCTGAATTTTCTTGTGCCACCAGTGTCATCCCATACCCATCTGAGCCATCTCTCTACCACTGCATTCTTTCCTTTCCCACTGCCATTTCATTCCTACTGCTGCATCCACTGGGTCAAGACATCTTATCTCTCTTTTTCAGCACAAAGCTTCTTTCCTAACCCCCCCTCCCCAAACTTCTACCTTCCTGGCTTCACCATCTTTCTATAGCCACTTGTGGCTTCCATCCAACACACCTATTTTTCATCTCCAATGCACACCTTCCTTTCCTGCTCTCAATACTTAGCAGCCACCTGCCACATACATTCTATTTCTCCATGTTCACATGCTGTGTGCCTTCCTTTTGTCAGCTCTTTCTCTCCAACTCCAGAAGATCTTTGCCAGAATGCACATGTTCCAAGTCCATGTACAGACTAGCACAAATGCTTTGGATTTAAATGCCTGGATTGCCTTATACCAAGACATGCATAGAATTTGTTGCATGCTTTCTAACTTAGATGAGATGGAAATGATCCAATAGGTCATCTGATTCAATTTCCTGCTGGATACAGGAATTCACAAAACCATAATCAACAGGTCAGCCTCTGTTTGAAAACCTCTAGTAAGTCTAGGTCTAACACTTTTGTAGACAGATTATTTCTTACTATAAAGAAACTTCTGTTCAGCACCCAATTCTCCTTGAATCAATTAATTTTAATTTCAGCAATAAAAAAGTTTTCCCCTTTAAGGAAACATTGCAGTCATTTGTATAAAGTTAGCTAACAATTCATTTACTAAAGTTTGCAGGGTTGCCTCAAACCATAATGTTCTAATGATAAATAATGCATGACTAGTTAGGCTGTAGGAAATAAATGGAGGCAGTGAATGCAAAGAAACCTTTTGTTGCATTTCCCATCAACAGTTGCTCTATTATTCTCCCTTCACAGCCACGTGAACAACTGCACAACTACCAAGGCACAAAAAAATCCATTAATATGCTCTTGCTGGCCTCCAGGTCTTTCTCCTTTTCACTTTGTTATTCTTTTATTTGTTCTGTTTTCTCATGTATGTTACTTGGCAATATGAAATGGGAAGGGAATGATGGAAATTCTTGGAGGAGAGGATGTGATATACTATTAAAGACATTATCTGTAGCTAAAGAAAAGAAAAATAAACTCTTAACAAAGTCCACCAGAAAATATAAGGAAAATATAGTCTGGACTGGAAACTAAAAAAAATGCAGAGATACCCAAATAAGGCAATTAGAAATCATTCCATTACTACAGCCAAGAAACAACAAGTACATAAAGTTATGAAAGTTAAAGACTGACTCAAAAGAGATTTTACCTGCAACCTTTTCTTTGTCCTGTTCTCATAGCTACCAACCTGGTCTCATAGACCATGTGCAACAAACTGCCCAAAACAATTTGTACACAACTGATTAAGAACTATGGTTTATCTTAATCATAATTAACTGAAAATAGTCCAGTCATGGCATTATGATTGAAACTCCACCCCTTTGTACATTTGTGTGACATTAACCAGGGCAACTGCAAGCTGTGACAACCATCTTGCCTATGTTGATACTCCTTCCAGGAGATACTGCTGGGAGAATATAATACGAATCCAAGGATCACCCTAACAAATCGTAAGTTAGCATTTCATAAATTGTCAGACTTTACCCAAAAGGCAAAACTACTGTTAAGTAGGTAACATCACAAAAATTGAAGAACTTCTGCTAAGTAACTTTTATCAGGGCAAAAAAAAGGAAGCCATAACAAACGAATTTTGATATGTCATTTTGTTTCAAAAGCAAATTCTAAACCTACATGATAATTAAACATCTCTCCCTCTTTTCTGTCCATTCTTGGCAGTCTATTGTCTTCCACAAAAGAGGGCTGATTATCATCATCTTGTGTTTTATAATGGGCAGATTTACTATCAAACTATATTTTGCTTACTGTATATAAATTAACCCACCAAAACTAATATAATATTAATGTATGTTTTAATGTCTATCTACTTGGAAAATGGTTAATAATTCAAGATTAGTTTTAGAAATTAATATATATTCCCCTTGAGGCAATTCAAACAGCTGAAGAACTTGGAACACATTCAGCAATTTCTCCATGTTAAAATTAATAACTGAGAAGTAATCATTCACAGATCCCAAGCAATCTTTATTAAGCCAAATGCTTTCTTATTGAAAACAAATGTATATCGGTGTGTAATTTTTTTAAAAAAATAAAATGCTGTAAAGCAGAAAGAAATAAGGAAAAAGAGACATTTCATGGTGAAAGGTATAAAATCAATTTAATAAATACTGGAATGCCTTAAGAAGAAAGATGCAATACTCATTTGGAAAGACTTTATACATATAAATGATATGATGCTTCTTTTTAAAAAGTTAATTAAAGTCTGAATAATATGTTTAGCATTGAACTACAGATGGGCAAATGTTAATTTTGTCTCTTACAAATGTAATTTTAAATCAAATGCCATATAATGAAAGGCTAGTTCAAAGCTGATAAAATATATATTAACTGAAAATTACTCAATCAGTACTACTTCCATATTTATATAACTAGCTAGGTCAACAGCTGTTTCTTATTTTAAGTTATCACTTAACTTTTCATAGAAAAGTGATTTTTTTTTACAAATAATGGCTCAGTATTGAGACATAAATTGCTTTTCTGAATATGCTTTCATCTTTAAAGCTTTCCAAAGAAATAGATTTTTTATCTCATGACGGAATTTGATATATAATTTCAAAATAATCCTTTAATCCTTTTTCAAAAGATAATCATCCCATTTTAGCAAATATTAAGTATGTATGTATGTCTATAAATTTTGCGACTCATTTAAGTTTCTTCAGTTAGTGCATAAGATATAGCTAAGCTGCACTAACCAAACTGCATTTTTTAATATAACAGTAAGCAAAAACAACTATGTTTTCTGTAAGTTGTTAAATACAAATGAAATTACCTTCATTTCATCTTTGTCCTCACCCCAGGCATTGCCTTTTTGAATGTTTCTTAGCACACTATTTAAGATCAAATATCGCACTCAATCTAGAGCAGGGGTGTCAAACTGCCGGCCCACACGCCGGATGCGTCAGGGCGAAACCGCGCCCACCCTATTGCCAGCAATGGAAAAAAAGTCATGATACGTCACTATACATGACGTTGCGAGTTTGACACCCCTGATCTAGAGAAAGTTCAACCCTTCTTGCTGAATTCTAGTAATCAAAGGCTTATGAAGAAAGGATGAAAATTTAAGTGATATGTCATATATATTGTTGATATATAGGGTGAATCAACTGAGTGTCGGCTAATTTATACTGCAATAGTTTAGAGCAAATCTGACATTTGCTAGCACAGTGTGTTGTTATGTACCATGAACAGAAAAATTTTAAATGCAAGATTCAACTGGACCATATATGCATTGAGTTGCTATGGGCATTTCTTTATCTTAATCCAATCTACTTCACAGAAATGCTCCAACACTGGAAGTTTTTAAGAAGACACTGGACAACCATTTGTCTGAAATGGTATAGGGTTTCCTGCCTGAGCAGGGGGTTGGAATACAGGTAGTCCTCGAGTTACAAGTGTAATGGAGCCTGCCCATTCCACTCGTATCTTGAAAATTCGTAGAGTGAATCTCATATCTTGAACAAGATTACTTCATCACTCGTTAAAACCACGCAGGTTGTTAAGTGAACATGAGGTATCTCAGGGTGGGGAAGGCCATGGAAGACCTAGTGATGGAACAGGCCCCCAAGGCCTCACCGATCCACTAAGATACCTCATGCTTTCCCCTCCCTTCTTGCCACGCCAGACTCACATGGAAAAGATCTGCCTCCTCTCTGCCGTGGTTCCTGCTGCCACCCGGATCTGAGGCCAGGGGATGCTTCTGTGGGCCCCCGTGGCCCGATCTGGGCTCCGGAGGCCTTTTCCAGGCCATTGCCACCCAGATCTGAGACTGGGAGATGCTTCTGCAGCTCCCCATGGCTCGATATGGACACCAGAAGCCTTTTCCAGGCCACTGCTGTCTGGAAACGGGCTACCGGACATCTATGGAAGCATCCTCCAGCCTCAGATCCGGGCAGCAGTGGCCTGGAAAAGGCCTCCGACACCAAGAAAGCAAAGGATCTCGATCTTCGCAGGGTGAGTATTGAAGGCCTGGTGCCTAGGAAGACCTGGGGAGGGGTGGGGAGGGAGGGAATAACCAGAGTTAATGCTGCAGTGCCACTGCGGTGGCTCATAAGGGTGAACGACTGCTGTGGTGCGGCAACATTCATAATTTCGGGACTTGCTCATAAGCACTAGGGCCCCTCATCGCATAACTTTGAACAAGGGTTAAGTGAACTTGTAACTCCTATATCAATAGGAGTTACCTGTAGAAAACCTCCAAGGTCCCTTCCAACTTTATTATTATTGTTGTGGTGGTTATTGTTATTATTAGTGTTATTGTTGTTATTATTATTATTAAATGTTATGGAGATAACCTTCATGTAGGTTGCCTTAAGCTTCTAATAAACATGAAATAAATTGCGAATTTCCATTACTGAACATTAAAAAGCAATAATAAAAAAAATTCAAAGAGTCATTTAGGAATGAAAACCACCTGACTTACCTGTCTTAGGTCTAGAGTTATTGTTACCCAATGATATTCTCTTCCATTCTGAATGCTAGGACTTTGCCACCAGTTATTAGTACCATCTATAGCATTTGATATAGGATGTTGTTCTAAAATAAACACAAATTACAATCACATTTTCCAAGTTTCTTTTAATGTATTATTGCCATACTACAACCATTCACATATATTAAAATATACAAGTTAGAAAAGAAAATAAATCAGTTCAATCAATCTAAACTTTGCTGTACAAAGACCAGACCACAAACCTAAGATTAAATACAACTCAGAATCCCATTTTAATCTAAACTGAGCCTTTACATGATATGGCCTTACTAGTTGTCTGCTCTACGTGACTAGTTGTGGGTGTAGTAGAGAATAAGAAAGAGGACCTTGATGGAAATATGCAGGTAGTTACTTGGGCAAAAATTCAGAACAAAAATTCAGATAACATTTTAGAAGCAGCTGAACACCTTTAATTCAGCCAAGTATAAGAACAATATACTACGAATCATTCAGTATAATCAGACTTGCAAACTTCTACTAAAATTCTACTATTCTAACCAATCTCAATAAAAATTATTTTAGCCTTCCTGTGGAATTGCCTTCCTGGTCTCGTCTACTTGATGGGATTGACAATGATTCACAAAATTTCTAGAAAAAGTATAATGTAATAAACTTGCCTTTGGAATTTGCACTATTGTAATCACAAATTCGACACTGTGCGTTGCGTAGGGGTCGACCTGGAACGTGCTCCACAAGTTTACAAAACATTTCAGGGCCTTTTTCTCCACATGTAGCATTAGTGCTGATATGAGCATTACTAGCGAGGTTTAGAATGGCAGGAAATAAACCTGAAAGAGATCAGATGTGAACCTTTGTTACATTTTATGGCAGTCGTTATCAAATCCTCAAGTGACTGAAATTATAACGGCACTGAAAAAAGTGACTTATGATTATTTTTCACACTTACAAACATTGCAGCATCTCCATTGTCATATAATCACCTTTTGCAACCTTATGTTTATGACGGTTGCAGTGTCCCGGGTCATGTGATCACCTTTTCTGATCTTCTACAAACTCAATGGGGAAGTCAAATTCACTAGTAACAATCATGTTACTAACTAAACAATTGCAGTAATGCATTTAACAACCGAGCAAGAATGGTCATAAAATGGAGCAAAACAGACTTAACAACTATCTTGCTTAACAACGGAAAATTGGGGCTCAATTGTGGTCATAGGTTGCGGGCTACCTGTATAGTATTTTTATTGCAACAGACTAATAAGGCTGTTCCGCAGGAAACTGCAAATAAATTTATAATTTGGGTCTCCCAATTTCCTGAGCCTTCTTTTTTTTCTTTAAATCTTGCTAGTTGAAAAAGCACAAATGAGATAACAATGCTAATCTGTGCTTAGGAAAATAAACAAGTGAGGCAGTACTAGTTTAGCAAAATGTGAAGAATTGGGGTCCTTTCAAAAACTTTTCCTACCACAACAATGTGATATTTATTTTGTGCTTTTTTACCCAACTGTGCATTCTTTCTTTTAACAGCCAGATACGTTGTCACAGTTTTTTTGAAAAAATGATAGAAGGATATAGAAGATTATTTCACCTTGGAACATAAAAATCATTTTTAAATATAGTATGTGAAAATAAATCTCACTGAAGGTGTGATTTTAACATACATACATAATTCTACATCAAAAAGCATAATTCATTGTGCCTGAATACACCATATTAAATATTTTTGAGGAATAATTCAATTTATACACAGTACTCAAACATATTATTAGTTACAAAACTGACTGCAATCATTGATACATTTTCCATTTTAGCATTTAAATTTCATTTTGCAATCTTCTCCTTTATACTTGGAAAAGTTCATCTGACATTTATAGTGACAGTACTGAATTTTTAAAAGCTTATCCACTTTTGCTGAGAGAAAGAAGTACGGATTTTGAATACCATGGTATTCAAGAATTCACTGGTATGTGTATATTTTATTTCAGAACAAATATTCTGGGTATTCTTTACTTAACAATAGAATGTTAGCATGGAAATTTCAATGGATGGGTTAAGGAAGCAGAATATTTCTCTAAGTATGAATGACATTTGAATAAAAAAGCGATACATTTTTCAGTGGGAAGATTTATTATTTAACAGTCTTTCTCTCTTATTTAACAAGGGCAAGCTGTTACATTCTGTCTACTCATTTACTGTAAGTATTGCCTTTCAAATGCTAGAGAAGGTCTGTGCTCCAGTGGTTCGAGTCCTATCACTGCATGGTGGAGTAATTCCCAACACTTGCCTCAGCCTCTGCCAACCTAACAGTTCAAAACCATATTACATATAAACTACATACAGATAAATAGGTACCACTTTGGTAGGAAAAATAACAGCGCTTTATGTGGACGCACCACCCCAACCGGTGCCGGACCTGCCCAAATGCCCAATATTCATAGAGAGAAAAGCTCCAGAATGCTGTTAACTGCAGAATGCTGTTAACTCTTCTGAAAGCAGCACTAGTTCATCCCCTGTGATGCACTATGGATAGCGTGGGAGCTTGAACCGGACATACTAGCACTCTTAAGCAGTACTAACACTGTAGTCTCCTGGCTAATGTCATACACTAAATAAATAAATAAATGTTTTCAGTCTTACCACTCTATTGGGCCTCCTTTGAGGGAGTGTGTTAACTGAGCATTTGTTACCTGCCCCACTTCCAAAGGTGTTCTACTTTCAAACCTTCACATTCTCCTGAATCTAGTAATAAATAATAAAATACACATTGTCCAGCCACAAAATAGCTATTCTACATTATTTAATGCTACAACTTTGCTTACTACTTGACTTCTATAGGGAAAAAATATACAACCAATTAAAGTATAGCTTATTCAAAAATTATAAATGTATTTTCCTTCTCAGTATCAAATATCATCTATATATATATAAGATATCTTATTAATAATTAAATCCTTATATATATATTTTTTTACAAGGAGATAACAAATATACTTTTCTGTTTTTAATTTTGAAAAAAGATACAAATACAGATTAATATTTTTTGGAAAACTGCCAAAGGATACATTTGTTACAACTTGTACAAAGAAAGTCCCCAAAAGAAGTTATATACCCCAAAAAAATAAATGCAACTGTCAATGCATAATAGCTGCATGAAATCTTAAATATGAGAATTAATTATTAAACAATGCTGTAGATTACAATATTCTACTTTAGTCAATTACATTTTTTATATATAGTACTACTAACACAATGTGATGTTTTTTCTGCCACATATTCTCAGCTATCTGTCTGTGTGTGGGGGGGGGTTTGTGTGTGTGCATATGTGTGTCTGAATGTAGATAACAAATGAATTTGAAGATGTTTGAACTAAAGAGAAATGATTACATTATTTTTGTTCTCTCTGCAAATGAAGAATGTATCCCTGTCTTGTAAAGCATTTTGCAATACTTTGGACATTTTGAAGCCATTAATTCCAAGAGGAAGTAATAAAACCATCTAACTTTGCTGCTTGAATATTTCAGAGTCTAAGTGATTTCATTAAAGTTCACAATCTTCTAAACTCTTTCAAGGTATTGACTATACAAACTTCACAGATAATATTTCTTATCAGTTTGGCACCATCGTACCCTGCTGACAGTAAAAAAGAAAGTTTCCTTTCAGAAGATAAAAAGTGATGTATACATAGAAATCCTAAAAAGATTGGGACAGCTACTGTTTATGGTAAATATACTGAAGAAAAACAAGATTTTTATTTCAGGGTAATATTTACTAAGAGTCCCCTTTGGTGACACTTACAAAGTAATAAACTTATCAAAATAATTCATCTTCAGAGACTAAACTCATTTCTAAAGGCACAACTGTCGTTTAGTAGCATTCTGGAAAAAAACAGAAGTGTTTATTACTAAATTATTAAAACATAATATTAACAAAAGCTGAAATAAATTGGTTAAGTAAAATGCTTTATAATAAAGTTTGGTCTCAAAAATTTGTTGCAATTTTTTTACATTTTCCCCAAAAAACTAATATTAAAAAATAGAACGTGAATAAGCTTACATCTTCAAAATAATTGTCACTAACACCAAACTGCTATTTCCAGAGGCAACATGAGAATTTTATAAACGTTGCAGTATAATTTACCATTAAAGAATTTTTGAAATTCTATTTGTAAAAAATAATAATTGAGTAACCTCATAATATAGCATGTTTCTCTAACCTACATAGTATTTCGTTGTCCTGTCTGGAGGTATCAGCAAGGAGTGTCCCAAGGACAGCAGCTGTTGAGCCCTTGTTAAACAACAAAGAAAAGGAACTTTCAAAAGAATCCTTCCTTCTGTTTAAGTCCTATAAATACCATTAATCAGTACATGCTGATAATTTTTTGGCCCACAAAAGACAACATTTTCTGACATAGGCAAAAGTATTTATGGTTTACTAATCCTAATCTTTATCCTATTCAAAACAGCTTCACAAGATTTTTATAAGTTATGCATAGTTACTTTGTGAGAAGCACAAATGCTACATTATTCTAGCTGGAGTTGTAAATATAGGTAGTCCTCAATATACAACTGCAATTGACCCACAATTTCTGTTGCTAAGCGAGAAAGTTGTTAAGTGAGTTTTGCCCCATTTTACAACCTTTCTTTTGCCACAGTTGTTAAGTAAAATCACTGTTGTTCTTAAGTTAGTAATAGGTCGCAAAAGGTGATCACATGAATCTGGGACATGCAACCATCATAAATATGAGTCAGTTGCCAAGCGTCTGAATTTTGATCACATGACTGTGGGGATGCTGCAATGGTCATGTGAAAAACCACCATAAGTCACTTTGTTCATTGCCATTGTAACTTTGAACAGTCACTAAACGAACTGTTAAGTCGAGAACTACCTGTAATAAATTTAACTTATTCTGCATACAATGCATGTCCATCAGATTAGTATGCAATTAATTAGAAAGAGAAGTAGGGTTATTCATCCATTCAGGGCAAAATACACAGGTCAAGATATTTTAATTTTGGGTCTTTACCTGCTCCATTCTGGGCATGGGAAGCCTTAGTAATAGCACAAAGAGGAAATGGAAGGAATACAGAAAGGTGAGCATTTGAGTCAGTTCCTTTCTCAAAAGAAATTCTTGTTTGCCTTGGAGATGCCAATCACAATATTTGGGTGGGGGAGGAAGCTTTAATAAAAACTGGGGACTAAGAAGGATTTCCTGTGCCTTTTATCCACTTTTATCTGGGCAGCTGTGTGATGATATTTTATCAGCTATTGCTGATCTGACCTAGAGACGTATTTATTTGTAGAAAAGTCAATAAAATTCTCCATTACAGTTCTGACTCATCAGTCATCTTCACTGCACTCAGGAAAAGTAATCATGTTTTAAAATAATTTTATCATATTCTGATGAAAAATAAAAATTGATTTTCAAATTCTAGACTCTGAGGGAATAGAATTTCATTTTTTGCTTCAGGCCCAGGCATCCGTGGGTCTGGATTATAATCAGTGTGACTCAGATCAGATTAGTCCAGTGGTGGCGAACCTATGGCACGGGTGCCAGAGGCGGCACTCAGAGCCCTCTCTGTGGGCACGCGCACCGTCGCCCCAGTCCTAGGCCTTCAGCTGGGTTTTATAAAACCTTTTCGCTTTAGGCCTCCGCCGCCATGTGCAAAAAAAAAAGGTCAATCAATCAGTCAATTTCAACTTCTCGTGGGAAAAAAAAAGATCTTGCAAAGTTGGAATTGATTGATTGAACTTTTTAGTCCTACCCAGTCTGCCATTACCACCACAGCCATGTCCACCCAATGGGCCACACCCACCCAGTGGGCCACAC